CAGGTCTCTCAGCCATATATTAGAACTGGTTTTATCATAGCATTGTACACCCTTAATTAATTTTTTCGGGATTCCAATACTATTGAAAGAGACACTAGCGGATCCAGGATTTAATTTTGGAGGGGGCTTCAGCCCGAAAGCTTTTTTTTCATAAAAATGACGATAATTACTTGGGAAAAAAAGGAAGAAACTAACTATCTATATGGAATGATGTTTAAGTGATTCCTTAAGTCCTTTTAAATGTAATTACACGAACAATAATAATTTAACAGAATATTTTTTAATATTTTTTTCTATAAAACATGGTTATATTTTACCATTTTGGGGGGGGGGGGGTTCAGCCCGAAAGCCCCCCCCCCAATAGATCCGCCCGTGGAAAGAGAGAAGAAAGCCCTGTTAGCGCTAGTTATACGCTGGTCTATTTCTGACCGTAGGTCATTCATTGAGATTATTGTGGATCCGAGGTATTTGATTTTTTCTACTCTCAGGAATGATTTTCCTTCTACGGAAATCCAAAAAAGAAAACAAAAATTTTAGCCCGCTCCTCTTTATCACTTTCCTAATACTTCGCGAACGGCTTCGTTTCATCGCAACCAATCAATTAATTAAATGATGCACTGAAAACTTGCACACATTTGCTTTCCAGTTGAAACTCAAGATAATTTGATAAAGAAAATCAGGGTAAAAAGGAGACCTACAAAAATATTGGTTAGTTTGTCCTATATAACCTCGTTATTTTGACATGTTGGGGGCAGAGGTCACGCCAGACGGTCCAATATTTTTGCAAGCCACTTTTCTTCTCGATTTGGTGATCAAATTATCATACGATTCAACTAGTGAGAAAATATATCCTCACAAGTTTTCAATTTTCATTAAATTAGTTAGAAAACACTTGATTCCAGAGAGTTTTGATGAATAACAGAAAATTGCAGGGTACGATAAAATGAAGCCATTAACCAAGTTTTTGCGGAGTCTTTATAATTTGATAAAAAGGGTTTTGTACCGTGGATTATTTTTTCGATGAGAAAAGTTAATGAAAAAAAAATTGACCCATATTAGGTAAGTTCGTCCTTAACTACAGTAAATGCTTTATTTTCAAGTCATACTACTCAAATACATCGGGTTGCTTATAGAGATTTGTGTAAACAACACTTTCATATATTTTTACAAATAAAAAGTATACCTTCGTAATTAATTTATTACAATCCATTCTAGGTTGTGAAGAAAAGATGGCCAACAAAAACACTGAGAAGTTTGGCCTATGAAACCTCGTAATTTCGGGCTGAAACCCTCCCCTCGTCCTCTTATCCCCACAAAATGAGAAAATATTACCATGTCTTATGAAACAAATATTAAAAAATTATCTCTAAAAGTATTATTGTTCGTGTAATTACATTTAATAGGACTTCAAAAATCACTTAAATGCCATTTCGTATAGGTGGTTAGTTTCTTTCTTTTTCTTCCAAAGTAATTATCGTCATAAAATGAAAAAAAGTCTCTCGGGTTGAAGCCCTCCCCAAAATGAAATCCTGAATCCGCTAGTAATCGGTAGCAATACAGACAAAGGTATATCCCTTATAACTTTTTATACCTTCAACTAATATGTGTTAGAAGTCCCAAAATAATATAATACCGAGAAAAAAAATAAACAAAACTATACAGATATCAAAATATCACATAAAATAAATGTAAGAATAATAATATGAAAATAAATAAGATTTCTTCATCAGAACATAAGTTTAATATCGCCAATAGGTTGCATAGGAGGATCTTGAAAACATATTGATTTTAAAATTTCTTTTTTTTCCTATTAAAATAGATTCGGAAGGCTCTACGAGATTTGAAGATATCTTAGCCTTTAGTGCCAAAGGAAAAGAGGCTCTGATAGTCGATCCTACAATTCGATTTGAAACAAATGATGAGGATCAAGACCTTAAAATACCAACAGGAAAAGAGGAGATCATTAAAAAAAAAATGCATTCCGTACCTGCAGGAGAAATTCAGAGTGGAATTTGGTGAAAGAGAGTTTCGGTTCGGGGACTATGGTTCGAGAGTAGAGGAGCGATTCCACCTTCAACTGCTGTGTTTTTGAAGAAGCTGGGTGTGGAAATTACCAATCTGCAGAATATGGCGGAATCAATTATTTTGGACTCGTTGGGGGCACCATCACATATATTAATTTTGGGCAGTTCGTTATGAGCTTTACGGTGTAGCAATTGAGTGTAGCAATAAGAAGATAATTGGTAAAATTCAGTACTTACTTACTGCTGGGCACTGCTGTGCTACAATGACCTGGGCCTCCTCAAGGATTCCAAGCCTGTCATTCCTGTCTCTCGCTAGCGTCCTCCATCTTCTTATTCCGAGTAACTTGAGGTCCTCCTCAACGTCATCCAACCATCGCATTTTTGGCCTTCCTCTGTATCGCTTCCCTCCATTTTTTCCATATAGCAGGCGTCTTGGAATTCTATTCTCTGGCATCCTTTCCACGTGGCCGAGCCATCTCAGGCTGGCTTTTTTCAAAAATGATACCAGTTCTGGTTTGTCATACACTGCACGGAGCCCGTAATTGTTTCTTAATCGTTATGTGCCATTTTCTCTTATTCGCCCATATATCCTCCGGAGTATTTTTCTTTCCTAGACATTGAGTTTCATTTTACTTTCACTAGTCAATACCAGTTTGATGATAGAACTGCAAAACTCTATCCATTATGTTCTCTCTCGTTAAACATTGTCAATTGGGACTGATCAGTAGCCTGGGTGTTGTTGCAACTGAGCATAGTTGAGCAGCTTTACAGTTTTCTCTAGTTTTCCTGAGATAAACGGTTACATTAATGAATTTATGAGGACCAAAAAACCCCTATTCCAAATGTTTGATGAAAATCCTTGCTAGAAATTTCGAGACCTATTCTCTTAATAGACTAACCGTCAAATATTGCTCTTATTAGATTAAGGGCCTCCATATTAGGGAGAAGGGGTTCCTGGACCCCTGTTATTAAAATAGTGGGATTTTATAATTAAAGTTTTAAATATTGTTAAAAATTAAAACTATGGTGTGAATGTGCTCTCTGAACTCTGTTATATATGTCCTTTATTGAGACAGATTGTAATATTTAACAATAAACAAGTAATCCAGTAATGGAGTACTTAAACAAATTTTAAAAAATTAAAACATAACATATCATTAGACATATTACATAAAATATAAAATATTACGATACATTTACTTAAACGAACACACTTCGAAATTCTCTCCCGTTTAAAATCTATTATGCCTGTTCCTTATCCACATTTATAACTCTCTTATTCCAATTTATTTTCACAAATCAAACAGGCTCTAGCTGATTATGTAACCAGTTTACGTTTATCTTTATGAATTATTTATTTATGAATATGAAAAAAATTTTATATCTTTTTTTTATGTGAATTTGTGTATGCATTTCAATCTTACTAATCTTGAACAAACTCCCCACAATTATGCGTATATATTTAAACATCAATAGTAACAGTTTTTTAATTTTTTTATTATTTTTTTTTATAAGAGGCTATATCTAGTGTTGCCAAATGCGAGACCGAGACGAGTCTTGGTCTTGCGCAAGAGTCTTGCAGTTACCTATTACCTTATTACTATAGATATATTACTGTAATATTTCAGATACTAGAAACCTAACTAAGCCCAAATGAAAAACTGGAAGAGTTAAATACAAAAGTATATTGATTATACCAATTCTATACATATTGTAACTAAAATTGTCGAATATTATTAACTATTTTGCCTTAATTTTTATTCAATAAATCGATTTTTTTACCAGTCTTGGTCATGCTCTAGCAACAGTTAGTTTGTCTTGGTCTTGCAAGACCAAGACCGTTTTTGGGCATCACTAGTTATATCGTAGTATTGTGACCTTATTGCTTACCTGCTTTCTTTAATATACCTTTAATGACTACGGATATAACGGATATATTTATGCATGTATTTATTTATTAGTTATTTTTTTATAATAGCTATTCATTAATTGTAATAGGCCTTATTTCATTACCTTACTAATGAAAATTTTAATGTTAATTAGCAAGGTTGTTATACTTAAGGGACTTAGCCTCTGAATAAAGTTGATTTTTCTATTCTATTTTATAAATATACATTATGCAGGTGGGAGGGGGGGACTAGTATCGATGTGTACTAGTATAGGTATAGAGATGAGGGTCCTAGATTAAAGTATAGAATAAGTAACTGTAAATTTATTACCAATAAAGCTGGTTAGATTCAGCAAACTTTTGACCGCTGGCATACTGCTAAAAGCTGAACATTTTGTTTTTGGTACAAAAAGAATGTATAAAAATTTAACAAGCAATTTGGTATGAGATATTCTTTACTTGACCACAACATGCACAAACATCTCTGGAACTGTGATCTATTATCTAGATCAGTGTACTCATTAAAAAAAAAAATCATCAGCTACTTAATTAAAAGACGAAAACACTTTGACAATAGCATTTCAATAAAAAAACAATATAAAAACTACTTTTAATAAATTATTCTTTAAATATACAAAACATAAAATGGTGCTATGGTAAATACATTACATCCATACTACGATTAAAAATCATTTACAAGGAATAATAAAAATTTTCATTACTTGTTTTTAGAACTACATTCTAGTAAATTGAACTAAATAAATCATACACTATAAAAAAATTGTTTAAATGATTTTCAAAAAATTATTCATTTTACATAATACTTGCATGATTAGGTCTATAGATACAGAAAGCTTACAAAAGCAAACGTTAACTCTTCGTGAATTCTATTTATATATATTGCTATAATTATCCTTAATAATTGAAATATAGTTTTTCATTTTTATTTAGATCAATTGTGAATAATTAAACACCCATAAAATACAAACTACTAAACTAATGCCTTATCTACTGTACATACATAGAAAATAAAAAATTACTAGTTTCTATAAAACTTTTTTTTTTTCTTTTTCAACATATTTTTACAATTCTTATATCCATAATATTAATTGGTAACAATACAAAATTCTTAATATTAATAAGCAACAATACAAATTGTCTTTTATTTCTTACGTGATAGAAGTCTTCCCAAAGCATTTATTAAATTTTAAGTAACTGTTATCTGAATAATTATCCTTTTTCTTTATTATTTTGGGAAGAAACATCTTTTACAAGGTAATGATAACTGAATTTATTCATATCGATTTTTAAGAAATGATCTTTGATTTGTGAAACAAGAGAATGAAATCATTTAATTGAGTATTTTCGGTAAACCAAAATTATTTTATGAATTATGCCAATTAATTCTCTCTCGTATATAATTTATTAACTCAGGTATACATTTTACAAAAACAATAACAACATGCAGTGGGGCATGTTAAGAGTGAGGAAATGAGACCTATTTTTTACGTGGATTTTCTGAAACGCATCCCAGCAAATCTTTATTGGTCCTGGCTCAGATTGATGAGGTGGATGAGAACAGTCGAGAGGACAGCGTTGAGCATCTTCTTGGCGCAGAGGAGGATGGCCAAACCAGTGATCCAGCTGGACCGTCCCTCCAGGATCCAAGAGATGGAATCGGCGCAGCTGTAATAGTGTGTGTGCCCAGTCACTGAGTCACGGCATTCCGAAGGGAGAGCCCTGTGGAGTCTGATGTAATCGTTATACCCTTCGCCACCGCAGCAACCGACCTATGTCACAGAAGATAAGGTCACTACACGAATCAATTCATGTTAAAAAAAAGTTGATACATTTTCAAAAGTGTATGTTTCATTGCTGAAGAAAATGTAATTTATAATTAAACATACCGTCAGATGGGTCAGGTCAATTTTGATCCAAAAAATCCAAGAATATTCGATTCGCTAAAAGTGATCTTCGACTATTTATACTTGCAATAAGAAAGATGAACTAACTGTTTTTGTTCAGATACAGTTCATCTTTTTTGGGCCAAATATACCTCAGTTGTTGGTACGCATTCTTGTCAACTTATTTCTGTCATTAAATGTCAAAAATACTGCAGTGTCTCAAGACTCAAATGATTTCCAATAATGTTAAGGATATAGCTAGCAGGGTTTGATAGGTCAGGATATAATTTTGTAGAGGATTAGTTATTTATTTATTTTTAATTAACGTTAATTACTCCGGAATAAAAAGAAAGATACTATATAGAATAATAGTGGGCGGGGTGGCCCAATGGGCTAACGCGTGTGCACTGCACCACCGTTGCCCGGCAACCTGATACATAAGGCTGATAAAAAAATAGTCACGAGTTCGCGTCCTGGTGCCCGGAGGAGTTTTTAAATCCCCGCCCACACTCCCTGGCCCGGGAAAACCCCCGTATAGCCTTAAAGGCGAGGAAGGTGAAGACAAAAAAAAAAAACTATATAGAATAATGATAGAGTGGTCCATAAAAGTATGTCAAAAAATAAGATAATAATAATAAATTATTACTAAAAGATGAATTTAAAAAAAAATTCTTGACACCTGCTTACATTTAATAGCTGAAATACATAGTTTATTGTTTATTAAGAGTACATATTTTCATTATTTAAATATTTATTTCACTCACAGAAAAAAAAGAACAAAATTAAAAAAAAAATTCATTTTGAGAGGCTCGTGTTCAAGCTCCTAGTGTTCAAAGACAGCAGTTTTAGACATGAGCGAACCATACCCGCTGGACATTGTGTTTGGATTATCAAACAAATTTTTAAGTGTTTTTGTAAGTGAAAAAAAATCATTTGCTTAGTATTGCATTGACATAAATTTCCATTATTTTTTCATTTTTGACCGGTAGTAAAAGAAAATTCTATTCTCTCAGCTCGGATTTAGCATGGAGCCACCTCGGGCAGACACTTGAATACTGGGGAAAACCCAACCAGTAAGTTCCTCGACAGATTAACCTCCCCTCCCCAACCCCACAACCGCTTGTCACGAAAAAGTACTTACTCAACAGAAGTAAAGTGTGAAGATGGTCTATTAGACATTTCATGGGTCCGCTCAGGCCTGTAAGGAGTATACAACACTATCCAGAGGATACGAAAAAATTAGGAGATTGAAGCATAATAGCCCTGGAGCCAGGGTCCAAAAATTGACCTCATCGCAGGCGAAGGTTTGATTATAAATTACGAAAATGTATGTTATTCTGAGTAAAAAGAACCTTGTCTGCCGTTCCAGAGCCGCTGCTTTCAACAATGGCGGCTGATTTAAAGAATATTATGCCAATAATTTGAGGATCGAAACGGGAAATCCATTGCGAAAAATGTTAGAAAAGTTTCTACTTTTTTAACTTGTATATATGGGTTTAGACATGTAAAAAAACAAAATTGCTAACGCAGACCACCAAGGGAAAACTTTTTACAGCCAAAAAAGTAAGATTTTTTCGATATTTTTTGGGTTTTTCATCTATAACTCTTAAACAATGCATCAAAGCGAAAAATGTGTTCGTTAATAAATTAAAGAACGTTAAATTTTGCGTCAAACAAGTACATAAACTTTAAAATTTGGTTTCGCGGTAAGGTATAAAACCACGGCCAATCAACTCTGAGTTTTACCAAATTTACCAAAAACAGGGACAAATTACTATAATTGGCCCTGTAACTTGGAAATAAGTTCCCTAAGAGGAAAAGCACATAGAATCAAAGTTGTAGAGCATCAAATTTCGCGTATACTCAGTATCAACTAATTTCATGTAGGTCACTTAATGCGAACAAAATCGGTAATCTCCCGATGGCTAGATATTGGTAATGAAGGTAAACGTGATTTTCAATATTTCAACAGTATGGATATCTATTCTACTGAGTTAGTTTTGTTTAAAGTCTGTTAAATGCAGTATAAGACTCTTTTCCACATCTCATCAGCAAAAGATTTTTGTAAACGATGTGCCGAAAGATACCGATTTTATAAAGGAATAACGAATCCCGATTCGAGATATATAATTGGCCAACAATAAAAATGTCAGTACCCAGTGTACGCGAAATTTGATGCTCTACAACTTTGATTCTATGGGTTTTTCCTCTTAGGGAACTCATTTCCAAGTTACAGGGCCATTTATAGTAATTTGTCTCAGTTTTTGACAAATTTGGTAAAACTCAACGTTGGTTGACCGTGGTTTTATACCATACCGCGAAACCAAATTTTAAAGTTTATATACTCGTTTGACGCAAAATTTAACGTCCTTTAATTTATTAAAGAGCACATTTTTCGCTTTGATGCATTGTTTAGGAGTTATAGATGAAAAACCCAAAAAATATCAAAAAAATCTGACTCTTTTGGCTGTAAAAAGTTTTCCCTTGGTGGCCTGCGTTAGCAATTTTTTTTTACATGTGTAAACCCCTATATACAAATTAAAAAAATAGAAACTTTTCTCACATTTTTCGCAATGGATTTCCCGTTTCGATCCTCAAATTATTGGCCTATTATTCTTTAAATCAGCCGCCATTTTTGAAAGCAGCGGCTCCGCAACGGCAGACAAGGTTCTTTTTACTCAGAATAACATACACTTTCGTAATTTACAATCAAACCTTCGCCTGCGATCAGGTCGATTTTTGGGCCCTGGCTCCAGGGCTATAACGCTGATCACACTAATGTCAAGAATCAGCACCTCTTATTAGCGTCTATCTCTTAAGATTCAACGATTGATTAGATGAAAATTTGAAAGGGAAGCGTTTAGAAACTCGTTGATAATTTCCTTTTGGTTCTGTTTTGTACTACGCTCAAAAAACGTGCAATGAATCAAATAAAGCCACCGATGCGTTTTAGTGAGAGTTTTTAACTCAAAGTATAAAACAATTATAAATATTACAAAAATAAAAACCATTACTAGATATTTTTGAACAAAACAAATATAATTTAAAAAATTTTGTCACAACATAAAATTAAATTTTTGTATATTTACTACGCATATTCATATAAAATGTCCTTTGTTAAGTAAACATAAGTAAAAATGAATGCTTACACTCTCCTGTATAGTGGCTAATATTTTATTGGCTGGCTCGTAGGATGGATACAACTGGATTAATCCAACCATAATATTTTTTATTGCGTGATGGATTGAAGATTTGAAAGAACTATTTTCCATTAAGACAGCGGCACCAGCCAGGCAGAGAATGAAAAGCAGAATCTGAGCAACTATATTCTGAAAAAATACATAAATTAATTATTAAAATATTATTAATTACATTTGTATTATCGAAAATAATCATCTTCATTAGTCCTAATTTAATTAAAACACTTTTAAACCTATCGTTAAAACTGTGTATTATATAAAGTCGACTGATATTCATTCACAAAAGTCATTAATTTGTATTCATGAATAATTATTTCATATCTAAAGCTGGAATGGTTTATTTATTGCAAGATGGAATCACGACCATTACTTGTTTAGAATATCAACTAATCTGGTTGACCTTTTCAAGTTTCATTCCTGATCTTGATTTATTACATTATTTATTCCTTAGATCAAAAGGGTGGTACATGTCGTTATATATATATTTAAATAAAAGAAACGTTCAAGGGTCTTAATAAAATTATAATTGTGTAATAATGACGCATGACAAGTTGAGTATATTATCTCAACAAAAATGGCAGTTCTACACTAGACCATTACCAAATACAAGCTCTGGTGAACAGTAATATCCATTAAAAAGCTAGGAACATGTATTTGATAATCATTTCAGGTAAACGTCTAAGGGATAGAGATATTTGTTAAGCGTCACCGTGGAAGATGAATAAGCGATCATATGTGGTTTTGGCATAGAACCTCCGGTTTTATCTTCTTTTATTATTATTACGAATTTATTTTCGTACGGTCGTCCAAATAATACGTAACGACATAATTGTGGAAAGGAGTATGGCTCAAATTAAAAGAACGTGACAAAAAGAGAAGAGAGGTACAGATATAGCTTCATGGCGCTATCATCATAAAATGGAAGTCCCCTTATAAGAAAAAAAAATGCGAAAATAGTGTGTCGTATTTAATATGTGCACGTCTCTCAAAGCCTCCAAAAAAACTTGGTGTTATGTAGAGACTATGTAGGATCATTGCTAAGAAGCAGGTAAAGAGAAATGAATTTTATTCAATCCTATTCGGACTTGAACAATATTTGAACCACTGGCTAGACTTGCAGTTAGAATTCCGGCTTTTGTAATAATTTATGTTCAGTTCCATCAGCTTTGGATTGTCTCGAGATTCGAAACGACCTCTTGAAGAACTCCTAGTCGCTATAAATGCAGACTAGATCTTTTAGAGGAATGCTGAAGAAACCTAACGCTTAAGAGTAATACTAACCAAATCACCAGCAGTTATAATGTTTGATCAAGGATCATTGTCCCAACTTATAAAGTACTCCAAACCATTTATGAACTGAATTGGTGCGGGGTTTTCAAATTAAATTTTTTATTCAACGCCCGTAAAGATTATAATAAATAAATAAGCACTCTTGGTAGGTTGTGATACGTAGATAAATCATACAACCTCTTCATTATACGCTTTATCTCCGATGGAGGATTAAACAGAATTCAGCCAAAAATTATCTCCCAAGATATTCAAGGACAAACGAATTCAGTAAATTCTTCTTTCACTATTCAAAACACTGGGATTCTTAACTCCTGTGGACAGATTCATGAGCAGTGATGGCTTTTGCAGATTATTATTTTGTGATATCAGCCACGGCATCTATGATCGGAGAAATTATCACATCAGAAAACTATATAGTGATTACTAGAGACCGGATTTCCATGTAATTGCACATTTTATTCGCTTGCGTGTAAAAGCCCCGGACCCGAATTCTATACGTTTTAGGATCCGAAGAATAATATACTAAAATTTTATATTGGACGTAATTGCACTTTTGCCGTTTTGGGCTTAAATTGCACGATTTTGATTTTTCTTGCATTAAATTGCACGTTTTTGTACATTTTGTGCTGGATTAATTGATTTATAAGTATAAATATATATGTGTGTGTGTATAAATATTTCCTTTTTTTATTTTACAATGTTGTTCATTTTAAATTTATAATTTAAGAAAAAATAAATATCAGGAAGACAATTGAATCTGTGACAAAAATCGAATTTACAAAAATTACAAAATGACGAAATAAACACAAGTGTAAACAGACTATCCCTGGAATAGAACTTGCTTGAAATAATTCAATAAAAAAACTGCTTTCCTTGTTTTGATTTGGATTCCCACTCTTTCTTAAGTCCTTCATTATCCCTTCCGGCTTTGAAGTGAATCGTAGACAATTATGAATTCGGCATCAATTAAAATTTTACCCCGTAATAGAAAAATAATACAGGTTACACTCTTATAAAATAAATATAACGACTGCATATTTAATTATTTAGACCTTTCTGTATTTGTTTTGTTAATTATCTTTAAATTTCCTATTATTTATGTTTTTCATTAATTTTTTTTTCAAGATTCAGTTTAATCGTTATTTATTTTGTATTAGATTATGTACTGTTGTTTTTAGTTGATCGTAATATATATTTTAATGTTTCATTTTATTATGAGGAGTTAAATGGGGGGTGCGTTCAAATAAATACTAAATTAAAATATAGTAATTATTTAATTTTTGCCGACATTTCGACCCACTTTGCAGGTCGTCTTCAGGGCTACAAAAGATACAAAACATGTTGAAAATAAAAAATATATAGAAATAGATATAAAATAAGAAGAAGTTGTCAGATACAGACATCTCTGATATCATCTTTTTATTTCTGTATCTGACAACTTCTTCTTATTTTATATCTATTTCTATATATTTTTTATTTTCAACATGTTTTGTATCTTTTGTAGCCCTGAAGACGACCTGCAAAGTCGGTCGAAACGTCGGCAAAAATTAAATAATTGCTATATTTTAATTTAGTATTTATTTGACAGCACCCCTCAATTAACTCCTCATATTATATCAACGGTCAACCATCTCTACATCATTGTTTCATTTTATTGTTTGTTTTTTTTTGTAACAAAATTAATTCAGACGCTTACCATTAGGTTTGATAGGATTTCGACATATTAATATTATAAATTAAACAAAATACATGATTTTTGTACGTTTTTAGGTGTAAATTAGACCAATTTACACATTTTGAGTTTTTACTGCACTATTTTGCACGTTCTTAGTTTTTTCTGCACGTTGTTTTAGATTTTTACTGCATAAAGATCCGGTCTCTAGTGATTACACTTATTAAAGGGAGGATTCATGAATGTGGTGATTGCTAATGACTGACAACTGTCGGTTAAGAAACGGTACTTCCTATTTATGTTCTGAAAACAAGACAACACAGATTTTGACTATCCTGTTTTTTGCGTTTCATCGCTACCCTAAATGTGATTTATCATTATTTAAACTTTGACGATATCTGAACTAAAGAGTCTTCCCAGCTTAGTGCACCTACCTTTTATGTCCGAGTGCAATGTCTGATGCATATTGCATATTCTGTATCCTAGAAATCGAAAGAAAATCCCCAATAGCCTCACACATCACTAAACAGCTTTAAGAGTAAATAACAATGGCTCCTATTATTTTAAATTTATTTATTTACCACAGCAAGTAATCTCTTGTTCTCTGAGAAAGTTCCCATACAGCTTATGACACCAGAAGCGATGTGGGCCAACGCGCACACAATGAGGATATATAATCCAGTATAAAATTGTTTCACTTCCAGTTTCTCAATCCAGTCTGTGATTTCTGGATCAAATCGTACCCAAAAGCATATTCCAATCAAGATGACACAAATAAGCTGAAATTAAAAAAAAAATGTATATAAATTAATTTGAATTTACTAAAATAAAACAAAAAATAACAATGGCAAATAAATAAATTCACAATGAATGGCTATTTTATAATTTTTTTTTAAACGTATAAAAAAATTGTTATACTATAAATTGGTAATACCACAATGCACAGGCGGATCTACGGGGGAGGGAGGCTTTTGGGCTGAAGCCCCCCCAAAATGGTAAAATATAATTATGTTTTATGAAAAAAAAAATTATCTCTAAAAGTATTATTGTTCGTGTAATTACATATAATAGGACTTGAAGGATCACTTAAACACCATTTCATATAGGTAGTTAGATTCTTTCTTTCTTCCGAAGTAATTATCGTTAAATATATATACAGAGAGAGAGAGAGAGAGAGAGAGAGAAAAATCTTTCGGGCTGAAACCCCATCCCACAAAATTAAATCCTGGATCCGTTAGTGCCACAATGTCTCCACCATAACTCACTTAACAGATGTGTTATAATTTCTGTTATGGCATATTTAGGAACTTATTATTGAAAACATGATAAAAAAATAATAATAATACATAAATTTTAAATTAATTACACCTAATGGTATGATTTTTAAATAAATGTTAACATGTTGAGATATGTACATTTCCTTGTCCTCTCTTGGTTTAATACCATTATTACATTTATGTTACCAATTCTAAGGACAGGACAAAATCTCAAACAAAAAAATATATATATATATAAACTACCCTTGCACATCTTCAGGGCATTTTTTCATATCTTTATACTTCATATATTTTAAGACAAAACAATTTTAGGTTTGAAGTGAAATTTTTTATTTTCATTGCTATCCAAATTATTTTTTAGACTTCCATAAAAACTTTCTCTTTAAGTTTCCATAAAACATTTTACATTTTTGTTATAAATCAATTTTATTTTTTAAAACTGCTCTTTTCCTTAAAAAGACTATACACAAAGAGAGCTGAGATTATGATATTATAAAGTATTATTTAAAATACTGACGGTTTTATGGTTTGTTTACTTATGAATTGCGTCGACCGGAATTTTTCTTGTATGACTCAACGATGAGTTATGCAAGAATATTCTAAGTAAGTCAAGTTCTATCTATATGAACTGTAATATGTACACGTCTTGACTTTTGACTATGAAAACCCCCCCATATTTGTCATTATTAATATGAATCAGCCTGCTTAGTCAAAACGCGCGTTCTCATACATGCATGCTTCTGAACCTCTCCCCTCTCCATTAGTACAGTAAACCTGTAAGAAGGACTTTTGTTTATGTAAAAATGCGCCATATACGAAGCATAATAGATGTATAAATAGAAAAAAAAATGACAACAGTTTTTTTTTCAATGTTTTAAATGGATACAATTGAATTAATTGAGAAATAAATAATGAAGAAATTTGTTTTCGTTTTTTGTGACATTTGAAAAAAACTCTAATTCGAAATTTTTCACGATCACAATATTTCTTCTAACTAGATATATCATGAATGAGTAAGTGAAAATAAAAAAAAATAAAAATGATGGCTATATCTGGTCTATCAAATACATGCTGTCATCAGAAATTAATTTCATGATTAATCATGAAAAGTGCCCTCGATTCATTACCCGAGACTATTCATGAACATGTCTCAAATCGATTAATAATACATCCGAGCTTTTTGACAGTACATAACCATGTAATTTTATTTCTTAGTTACCACTATTAACACTACAAAGACTATAAAAATGCAAGGAGATTTTTTTTAAAACAAATATTTGTAAACAATATTTTACTACTCTAAACAAAATTGGAGGAAAATGTGGAAACAGCTCAAAAGGAAAACATTAGTCAGCATACAAAGCATACATCAGGAGCTTATATTTATTGGGGTGCCTAGAAGGAGGTAGCATAGCAAAATGTTTTATGGGGGTCCTTTTGTAGGAATTTTGTAGGAAACCATATTTTTGTGAGATTTCAACTTGAGAAACTTTCAAACCAATTGTAACTATCAAGTGTGATTGAATATAAACTATAATTTTTAAAAGCCTACTTTCGTTTGGAGAATTTTTAAAAAGAGGAGAGCAATGAAATTTCTTGGGAGAGATGTGTGCGCCTTTTACTTTAGAGGGGATGGGGCACCCGTGTATATTTATCACTAAACAGGCTAATTTAGTACTGTACAGCAAATATATACAGAAGCTTGGTTAACATTTTATTTCTCAACTGTGAATTAGAAGAGGTCAGGTAAGCCTATTTCAGTTTTTTTTTTAGTTTTTTAGTGTGTGTGTTATGAGTTTTGTCATACCGGAAACTGGATTTCGACAACAAAGGTATTTTAAATGAAAGGCGAATATTGCTTCAATTTCGTGTTAACAGTGCAAATCATGATTTAGGCCAAATAAAAACCTTATAAGAGAAAGCGAGAGAGAGATGAATAACCCAACCAAATACACAAGAGAATAATACGAAAATAACCCTCAAAACTTTATCCAGCCTATACCAAATGGAAGCCATAATGAAACGCCTGAAGGAGAAAATGATTCCTATTTCAAAGCTAATTTTTGGTACAATTTTATATATAATGTCGTTTTATTTTTGTAGTTTTCAATATAATACTATAATTGGCTTCATATAGATTATGATATGTACTGTTAAAAAGTGCAGATGTATTATTAGCGATTGGAGACGAGTACAAGTATACGAATAGTAACCATTTTCCCCCTTAGTGTTTGTAGAAATCATGGCTAGAACACGTATAGAAAACAAAAATTTACTTTAATAATCTACAAAATAATATATTCATTTAAATGAATTTTGCAATGAACTCTGTAGCATTATTTAAACATTTTATTTAATAATATGAATATCAGGTAATTAACTGATATTTTAAGTTTACATGTAGGCTTATATTATAACATTAAGCATCAAGCAATTGTTTCAATCGCATGTTATTTTTTAAATTATTATATACTAAAATGAGCTCTAGTGGTTAGTAACTACTAAATGCCATCAACGCCCACAATAATTTAAATAAACAATCGATAAGCAAATAAATATATATTTTGTTTCGATATTTACCCAAGTAATGACGTTGAGACAAAACAAAATGTATTCAATGATCATTTTACTTTTCTCGGTCTCCATTTTGATGCAGGTTTATGTTTTACCAAAATCGTGCACAAAACTAAAGCCGTGAAACACTCATACACATTTAATCTTCACTGATAAGATAAATTTGATGACACAGTCCGTTTGAACAAGCCTCGCCCACAGGTGACTTATTCACCGAAATATAAATATATAGGACAGGTGTGTGACACACCAATTCATAATAAACTTTGGGAAATTCATATGGGTACAATACCACCACCTCTAATTTGTTTAGATAGCAGTGGCCATTGCATATATTTGATCAATGTTTCGACAAATAAAAAATTAATATAAACGATTTCATTTTTTCAATTAACAGAATTAACAGAAGTTTAAATAAAAAAGCTTTAATGACCTTGATTCAGTATGAAGCACATAAATATAGTGACGTTACTGAGGAATTTCCCTCAAGGAATCTGTCACCGCTGAGCTGTGTATGTTGATTTTCTAAATAAAATCCCATATGACGGAACCTTACTATATTTTTCCAATTATATTCTGACTAGTGGAAATTATTACACCATTGCGCAATTGGGTTTAATATCACATATTTTTTATTTCCATTTACTTTTAGGCTGATTTGTTCGGCTTCCTCCGTCGGAATCATGGCTTAGCTCACTAACGGATCCAGGATTTAATTTTATAATAATTATTTGGGAAGAAACAGATAGAAACTAACTACCTATATAAAATAGTGTTTAAATGATTCTTGAAGTCCTATTAAAAATGTAATTACGCGAACAATAATACTTTTAGAGATACTTTTTTTTCATAAAACATGGTTATTATAATTTAAATAATAGAACTTATTCTCATTGTTTAAGTATTTAACTTAGATCACCCAGTGGCAAATATGGACAAATGAAAAATAAAATTCCATTTTGTGGAGGCTTCATCCCGTAAGTCCCTCCATAGATCCGCTGCCAGTGGCTTTGCAAGTCCTCTTGACTGCATAAGATGACACCTATATCGTCCGAATAGGATTTTGATTCATCCTTATACAAGGGCGGATCAAGAAAAGTAAGAACCCACAAAAAAAAGTTTCAAGAAAAATCTAATAGTTATTAAAAAAAAGTTATTAAAACTGTATATCATAAAAACATTTTAAAAAAATCTATTTATCGAGTATTACAACAATCTGTCACTTTAACATTAGTTGTAGTGAGGTAGGATAACATTCACACTATATGAAAAAACAATATAAAATAAATAGAAGCAAAATAACAATAAATAATGATAAAAAAGTATATACAATAAATAAAATAAAATAACTTAAAAATAAGGCAATTAAAACAAAGCAAAAAATACATACATACCTATATAAAATATTTACAATCAGGCGAGGGAACTCCGAGGCAGGCTTGTCCCTCCAACTACAGATGCAGGACTTCAAGAGAACCCTGAGCTACTCTCTCAACCACATTACTGGTACCAAAGCCAGCGGAGATTGATCGAGAGCGCTTTAGCCACACACACTTATCTCTTGGTGGAGAATCTGACCTTTGCCAGAACTACAATATATATACAATCTACAAATTGTCGCAGGGCCACTGCCGTTTTAACTTTATTGGAGGATTATAAGAATGGGTGGTGTTTGATAGGGATTGTGCAAAAGGATTTGGATGATACGTAAGGTTCTAGTGAAATTTGGAAACATTTTCTGGGATAAGGTCTAAGACAAATGAGATGTTGAGGTCATGATGTAGGGTATTGTTGGTTATATCGAAAGGAGCATCGATTATTGTTCGAAGGACTTTTGATTAGAAGGATTGGATGCGTTTGATGTTATACAATTTTGCTGTTCCCCACAATTCTAGTCCGTAAGTCCAAATAGGTTTCAGTATTGTCTAGTAGAACAGTAACTTATTTTCAGCAGAAAGTTTAGATTTTCTGCTATAAAAACATTAAATTAAAATATTTAAAAATATAGGTAATAATTTTTTTTTTTTGTATAATTTCCGTCATAAGTTTTTCGCTTGCTTACTGAAGCTTTGTACTTGTGCGGGAGATTAAAAAAAACATTGTGCTCAGAATCGAATAATTTCACCCACGTATTACGTTTGAGACATCAAGGAACAAGTTTGGTTACGTGTCTGCCAGTAGTGAAATTTTTAAATGTTTCGGAAAATTATAAAATAATTAACTAGAGTTAATCTGATTTTCATGAAATTTTCAGAGAATGAAGTGAGCTGATACCTAACTGTTCCCATACCAGTTTGATCTAAATTCATCCAATAATTTCTGCGTACCCGTAAATGTATTTTGCACTGTCAGAAGGCAGTGGATCAGCTGATTGGATGGTTGTGCTCTCAACTGGTCTCTCAGTATTTGCCTATTTTTAAGTGGAATCTCTCTGATTTTTTCATTGAATACATTCCACGTGTAGACCAGAGCAGCTGATATTGCTGTTTGATATATTTTTTTTATTTTTATAATTTTTTTTTATTAATTTTTTTTTCTGTCTTTCTTTCTTTTCCTATGGTATGCGGTATACTCACAAAGTGATGTCCAGTAAAGTGCCCAAGAGGACTTGGTCAGACGTAGTTAGTTCACCAGCCAAACAAAGGACTCGTCGCTGCCTACGAGAAACATCTCCAACAACAAAAGTGAACACTTCAGAACCAGAACCACAGCCACAACCAGGAACTTTTTCGCAAGAAATGATCGAAGAATCGCCTTTCTTTACTCCGAACCCCTACCAAGTTCTTCAAAATGACCGAGAGGTAATGGAGTCTGCAGCAATTCCCACAGAAAGAACCAAGGCCTCCTCCGATATTTGTGAAAAATATCAAAAATTTCCAGTTGTTCTGCACCCAACTAAATAAAATCTGCTATGGCAGTTATTCATGTAGAAACAGGACAACGATAAAAAAATAACGCCAGATACTGCTGAAACCTACCGAATAATGGTGAAGTACCTCTCAGAAACGAATGGGAATTTTCATACGTACCAGCTTACGCAGAAGAGATCGTTAGGAGTAATAATAAGAAATTTACACTCCTCAACCCCAACTGAACTGATAAAAGAAGAACTAGCGGCGCTTGGTTTCAAAGTAAGTCAAGTAACCAACGTTCTGAAGGAGAATAAGGAGCAGCCTGGAGTAAAAAATAAAGTACCAATACCTTTATTTTTCGTGGATCTGGAACCATCAGCCGGTATTGAAAAAATATTCGATATCACAAGATTATATTACACAATGGTGAAAGTAGAGAAACCATACCCCAAGAGAGAAATAGTGCAGTGCCATAATTGTCAGGAGTATGGCCACACTAAGACTTATTGTCACCATCTGCCGCGTTGCGTGAAATGCGGTGAACAGCACAAATCAGTGGAGTGCACAAAACCGATACAAGATCCGCAGTGTGTGCACTATGCCTGGAGGGACACCCGGCCAACTACAAAGGATGCCAAATTTACAAGCATCTCAAATCCAGACACCAGAAAAACCGGATTCAAGATGAAGCAGGAAGACCAAGAAGAGAGAGAGAGAGCCTTCTAGAATAGTAAACAATGGTGTATCATTTTCCCAGCTACTTAGAGGTAAGAGCTCAACCGATAACTGTCAAGCCCTGCTGCAACAACAACCTCAATCCCAACCTCAAAATCCTATTGATCCGAATAAACCTAACCATCAACAACAAATTCATCATATCCCTCCTCCTTCAAATGCAACAGATTGTACATTACATTCACCCATCCCATGCTATCCAATTGAGGCAGGTGTTCCTCAAGGTAGCGTATTGGGTCCCGTCCTTTACATCCTCTTTATCGCCGATATCCCTGTCCATCCCGATACCTTCCTAGCAACTTTTGCTGATGACACCGCTATTCTATCATCCGACTCAGATTCTGATATAGCATCCTTAAACCTTCAAAGACACCTCTTCCTGATTGAGCACTGGTGTAATAAATGACGTATTAAAGTAAACGAATCCAAATGCCAACACATCACCTTCACGCTCCGACGCAGTTCCTGTCCACCAGTACATTTTAATTCCATTCAGTTTTTTTTCTCAGACAAGGTCCGGTACCTTGGCTTTCTCTTAGACAGACGACTAACGTGGAACCCTCATACTAGACTTAAAAGACAGTAACTAAACCGACGATGTGGACAACTATACCGGCTACTAATCAGAAAATCAAAACTTTCCATTGAAAACAAGTTACTGATCTACAAGACAATACTGAAACCTATCTGGACTTACGGACTTGAACTGTGGGAAACAGCAAAATTTAATAACATCAAACGCATCCAATCCTTCCAATCCAAAGTCCTTCGAACAATAGTCAATGCTCCTTTCTATGTAACCAACAAAACCCTACACCATGACCTTAATATTCCATTTGTCCTAGACCTTATCCCAGCAAAATTCTTCAAATTCTACCAGAACCTTACCCATCATCCAAATCCCTTTGCACAATCTCTATTCAGCACCACCCATCCATATAATCCTCCAAGAAGGTTAAAACGGCAGTGGCCCCGCGATCTTTTATAGTTTGTAAATATTAGAGTTCTGGCAATGGCCAGATTCTCCACTCACGACATGAGTGTATGTGGCTAAAGCACTCTTGCTCAATCTCCACTGGGTTTAGCCCTAGTGACGCAGTTGAGAGAGGAGTGCAGGGAACTCCTGGAGTCATACTTTTCCCTCCACAGTTGCAGGGACAAGTCTGGTTTGGAGTTCTCTAGCCAAATTGTAGATATTGTATATAGGTGTGTATGTGTTCTTTTTATTTATTTATTTTTAGGTTATTTTATTCTTATTTATTGTATATATATTATTTTTCTGTATAATTTATTTTATTTAATGTACATAGAGTGTGAATGTGATCTGTGAACACTATCATAAATGTCCTTGAGATAGATTGTAATATTTTTCAATAAATAAGCTTAAAAAAAAAATGTATTTTGTTAGATAAGAATACATTTTAAAGATGAATCGTGGGAAATTGGATAAAAGTTAGGAATTAGTGAAAAATTGATGCGTCATCAATTTTATCGAACCCAATTCTCTACAACCTTT